TACCAGAAAATGACTCAAGGCCTCACAGTAAATTATGGTATCTTTCATTATAATACTTAACTTGGTTTTGTTCTGAGTGTATTTTACGACTTGTGCCCACACAATAATGTTTTGTTTACACAGTAACCGAATACAAACTTTGAACAGAATCCTGTATGAACTACAAGACTGAATATATCCTCAATAAAGGCTCCTTGCACACTGTTTTTTAAAGAGTAGCATGGATCAGTGCAGGTCCCTGCCAGTTACATCTGCTGGATCCTCTTGTGTAATAAACAAAAATGATTGTAACCAATTACACTAGCAAATTTTCACCATGTATCAAAACTACAGGAAGACATTTTATTATTTGGATAAGTTAATGCAGTCCAAATCCTGTCGTATAAGGCTCCATGTGCTTTTGGAACAAATATCACTGGTTCTGGAGCCAGGAATGTGTGTAAAAAAGGTTGACCCTTCAGGATCTCTAATCATCAACTTATGTATGAATTGCTCCATTGTAACTCTTTAGAAGAACGTGTTTTAGGTGATTAATAACATGCCACTTTGATTAGTTCACTTGGAAATGACCTGTCTTGTTATGTTTTAATAAATGATACTAAGGAAACATCACAGAATTCTCCATTCACATGTATAGTCTGTATCTTTGGAAGCAATTTCTCATGTTTTTTCATTTGTTTCTCATGGACTTTATTGAAATGAGTAATGTATGAAAATGTATTGACTTAGCTGCCTATTTTAACTTATTTCACCATAAAAATGTGATTCTATGCAATAAATATGCAGATGTGCACTTTAAAAACATCACAAATTAGACATGGTTTATGGGGTTAATATCCTATTAAATGTGCTCTGAACGGTGTTCAGCTCTCATGTGGAAAGCTCACTAAATCATCTTTAAAATACAAAAACAAGAAATGCTTCCAAAGAGATGTCTCAGTGTGGGATGACAAGTTAAAGGAAAATGTTATGCCTGTAAGAAATGCACATGTACTTAAAATTCTACGAACAGGCCTAATAAGCCTAAATGTTATCCTTTACCCTTTGTGAACTAACTGGAAATACTATTTTATTTATGAGCTATTTTGTTATTGTAGTCAGTCTAGGACAAATGACAGTCTGGGTTTTATTAGGAAATACAACACACAAACTAAAAATAAGTGAATAGAGATAGCATATACTATTCTATTCTGTGTATTATTCTGTAAATTCTTGGTTAAGTAGCAATGGAAAACAGACTCAATGCACTTAATTTTGAGTGCTTCTCTATTAAAAAAAAGTAAATACTAACTAACAGCTATTTCAATTAATAATCGAACATAATTAAAAGAAACACTAAGTTTTTACTGTGTAAATTGTAACCCAGAAAATCAAATATTACTCATGCATCTCAAATTGCAGGTTGCAATTTTTTGGAGTGGGAACTGCATGTTCTAACATATAAATATCTACATTTTTTGTTGTGTGAATAACATCTGTGGCAAAATCTTGTTGATCTAAAAAACACATTTACAATTTTTCACTCTGGGACACGGAAATAATGCAGAGAATGTCAGCAGACAAACCACTTCAGGTCGTTTATGTTAATTCCACTGTCATAACTTGATAGATTAAACAAGGTTTGGCACATACCTTGCAATTCTCTCATGTTCCATAAGGTGTGCCAATGTGAAGCTTTGTGGGAACTTGCCCTGAGGTCTAGCCCATGAATAAGGCTTATTTCGAGTCAGCATGCACAATAACCACGCTACTGTCTTATTATAAATAAATGCTCTTTTTTGCCTCAAGGAGCACACTACTAAAAGAGGTATATTAATCAAAATCACTAAACAAAGTGCCCTTAATTGCTGGTATTATTAGGGGAATTTTTTACTGTGCAGCACAGCATTTTGCCAAACCACAGTGATACCTGGAATGTTTTTATACTGAACAGGTGGTGGATATACTGTACCGTATACAGGTAACACAGTTAAATGAAAAAAAAAAACAGCTACGAGTAAAAGGAATTTGACAACTGCAAGCAGTTTTGAAAGCTTCCAGGAAGTCAATTCTCATAGCATGATTGAACGTCAAGTAAATTGAGAGGAAACTAGAATGAAAGTTGAAAATTGAGTTGTACAATAAGAATGAAAGATAATGGCAAATATGGAAATGAAATCCTGCTCAACTTTAACAGTGTGAGTGAAATCAAATAAATGAAAAACTCTTTCACCGAGTGTTGTAGTTTTTTCTCTGCTGTACAGTACAGTTTGGACAAGAAGTGTTTCTCTACATACAGCAAATGCAATCCCTTCTCTACAATAATAATTAAGTCCCTCTGATACAAGCCTGATTGCAATGATGATAAAACAAGAACAAAGGACCACACCTCCAAATTAAGATTCAAAGTCAAGAGATAACAGAAAAGGCTACTTCTTGATTCTAACAAAAGGGCAGTTTAGAATAGAGCTACTACTACACATCAGTGCAGAGGTTATACGACAGTGGTGGTCTAACAAAATGGTGGCAAGTTGGCCATTATGGTTCAATAGAAGCACCATTTTGCCATGTGTCCTATCACCAGATTGATACCAAGTTTAGTTAACTAGTCTTTGGGCAGGAGCAAACAATGTGGGAGGCCATATTTCAGCAAGTAGTTGGTGATCTAAAACAATCACAGCAAGGAATGAAGTACAAATTGGAGGCACCTTTGTGTGTTCCCTTAAATCTGCTGAGATCTTATTGGCCTGAAAGACACCAGCCATGTTTTTTAAACAGCCACATCTCAAGAACGGAGCAAAAGAATTATCATTTAATTTTTTTCTGGTAGTGATAGTATAGACTAAACATTTGGAGATAATTAGCTAAAACTTTATTAGAAGAGGAATTAGCGTGACAGGCCGTATTTCACCAGGTATCTAATCACCTAATTGCAGCTCTGAAGCTTTTGAGTAAATTACTGATGCCTATAACTGTGGCCTGGAGTTTTTCTTGACTCAACTTGTGTTTCACTCCTCCAACATTAAGAGGTCCACACAGATAAAGCCACATCCAGTATTAAACAACCACCCCAATGCAGTCCCATAATTATCTTAGTCATTAACTACAACTTGAATACATAGAGATTTATAGCAATATAACACATATGGCTACAAACACATCCATTTTATCCTATCACACACAGCTGACCAATAAGCAGGAACATGTACTGTGTGTAATATGTTAACAGTATAGTTTTGCTTTGTCCAAAAAAATAAATAAATAATTTAATAATAATAAAAGGTCTGTTTTTAAAGTAAATTACACCATTTGTGTAATTTAATGTTATATACTGCTGTTAATTTTAATCACCAGTGGAATGGTTTTACGCACTCTTCTTTCAATCAATTTCATTGATTGCCAGTGATGTGTTACCATATGAGGAAACCCTTCTTTCAGCATTCACAGAACTGTTATTGTTGTCTGTTTTCACTGACAGATATGGTTTAGCTTTTCTGTGTAAATTTGGGATTCTGTGTTAAATTTACATTACAGAATCAATTTGAAGGTCTGAATCAAAAAGTTTTTGACAGAGGTCTACATGTCTGAGTACAGTGGTTACTGTTACGTAACACAGAAGAGACTGGATACAGTATATAGTACAGGATCCATGTTTCATCTGTTTTCACTAGAAAGACAAAATGGGAAAAAGTTTTCCGTCCTTCATGATGGAAAAGCTGACAACTGATAAACTAACAATATACGACACTTTGGCTCATAAAATGTGAAGTAATATTTTTCCAGCTAGAGCCAATCTCCCTCAAATGACAAACCACACGGTAATGAGTTTGCTAAAGATTTTCAATCAATCAGCAATCATGCTTTCCAAATGAATTGCACAGTGCTGTCCTCCAAGTGCTCGATAAATGCACTGATTGATTTCAAGGTGAGAATGAAGACCATTATTATGTCAAGGAACATTGATTAAGTTGTACTGAAGGACGGAATAAGTCCACTGACAGAAAAAAACACCTTGAAAAAAATTTGTTGATTTTGAAGTCAGATGTTTTAAAATAACATGGTATTTACTGTAGGAGTTTCCATTATTTAGTAAAAGCAAAGTAATGAGGAAACTGACAACAGTTACAACTATGGAAATGACTTCTATTATTCTATGCAAATTCCTTGTCTTCTATCCACAGGTGCTCAGAGGTAAATCTCACAAGGTAAATTTCTAATAAAAATGTACTGCATAGAGATTGGAAAGATCACTTTTCAGACATTAATACACATTTAAGTGAATGTATTTTTTATTTTACTTACTGTTGAAAAAGGGATTTTATCCCAACTATGGAAAAAAGTATTTTGTAGTCATGAAAAGTTTCAGCCAAGTCAGACAAGTGCCATTTGTCATGAGAGAGCAATGAAGGAAGCTTAGACATCCTGTTATATCAGACGTTTATACAGTACTGTAATGTCAGGCTTACTAAAGTTTAGGTTCCATAAGTAAAAATAAGGTTGGGATTAGTTAATTTTTGGTTGCATTAACTTTTATATCTGAATCTTTCCTTTAACTGGTTTTCAGCTGTCAGACTTTGATAGAACAAGCAAAAGGTGAATTGTTTTCAACCCACAGGTGTGCTTTTTTCTTCTGAATTTGAATGAACATGTTCATCTGATTTTGTAATAGCACATACTTTTCACATAAAAAAGGCTGATGAAGAGTGATATTTTCCAATGAAAGCATTTTCTATGCTGTGCAATTAAAAAAAAACAGCAGTTCAGCCCATAAACCGTAGATGTGATAACCCCAGACCAAGTGAAATTGATGATTTTATATCCATTACATTACATTTTTATCATTGTCTTTGTTTTATAAAAAAACCTCTGCAACTTTAAAAGAAAATGTTAAACATTCTGCAAAACACTTAAGGACAACTATTACAAAGAGAAATCTCTTGCTCATCCCAAGTAGCTAACGTTATAGCATCAATTATAACTGTATTTTGTAGCTTTTTAAATAAATTATTATTGTACCTTACCGTTATTTGCTCTGTCGCCGTGTCCTCCAGCGCTGGTCCCAGTATACAATGGAATTTGTTGTTGTGCGGTTGTCGTTCTTCTGCTTTGACTGGAGCCCAGTGGATTGTACGAAAAGTCAGTTCTCTGGTTGCCCTGTTTGTCATTTGTCCTTGCAATCACTGAGTTCAGATTGTTGTGTGCACTGGGATTATTTGTGTACACCAGAGAGCTTGTCCGGTGGTGGCTGTTCAGAGACATCTGCAAGGCTGCCTCGTTGACAAACACAGAGCCATCCCCATCAAAACTTTCCGAGCGGCTGTGACTTGTACCCTGGCAACAAAGAGAGACCAATATTAAGCTTCAGTCACTTGACAGCAGTTTAACAGCTGTTTTCCACACCCTGTTACCGACACAGTCGTGGTAAAAGTGTAAAAGAACTACAAGTACAGATTATTATCTCTATGACCAATATCTTTTTCTATCATTCTTTTTTTTCTTTTAAAATGAGAGCATAATAAGCACATTCATGTATTTTTCTTAACATGTTAGTCCTTCCATTATCATTATTTTCCTTTTGGAAATGCAGCTTCTTCTACATTATCTTTCACTGTCTTACTTTTGTTCTGGACAACCTGCATTATGAAACTGGATTTCAACCAAGATCACTCAATGAGAGTAAAAGAGACCTGGTGAAGAACTCATGAGAGACAGCACTGGAGGAGAACACACTCTTCTAACATCTCTTTCCCTTCATTTACTCTTTTCTTTGCTATTGCTGTAAACTTTATTAAAGTGTGCACCACGTTTTCAAATGTTTTCAAAGACCCAGACCCAGATTAAAACAGAAAGTATTTTCTATGTACATCATGTTATTGCTCCAACCCACACTCTCACTCTTGGCCTTTCCATCCCAACTTGAGTTCAGTTCAAGATCTTTGGCCTGGCTTTTCCTTCGCTCTGTCCTCTCCTACCTACAATCATTTGTCTCTCTTTATATTGTCTCTTGGCCCCTCCACTCCACATTTGCTGGGTGACCAGCCTTCATGTGCTTTATCTACCTCCATCCTTCGCTCACCTCTGGTTGAACTAGGTACTCAAGAATACTAGGATTTCACTGTGATTTAGATCTGCATGCCTTCTGTTGCTTGCAATTTCAGACTGCACTGGTACTTTAATATTCTCCAGTCTCATGCGTACTTATGATTACGCTCTTTTCCTTTATTGCCATTCCATTTTACTGCACAAGTCATGTACATCTTCTGACTGCACTCCTTTGATTGTATTCAACATTGCCTCCTGTATCATGCCATCTCCTGTACTGCACTGTGTAAGGCATTTTGTTACACACTGTTACACTGTATTAAGGACCATTTCTGGTCCTGGAGTTCCCCTGTATTTGCTCCAACATTGTTTTTAAGCTATTTTATTAAATTTTTCTATTTTTTTTTATCTTTGTAATTGGTACAGACCCTGAGTTAGTTAGGGAGTTTTGGGACAGCACTCATTTAGGTACATCAGCCGAAATACAATGAATGGGACTTATGCAGAAGGAAAACCACTGACTCACTGTGCTTTATACAGTTTCACTCTCACCACTGTCTGTTCATCATCAATTGATTGTGGATAACAGTCAAAATTTTGTATTAGCAAGTAGAGGACAGTTTATGCATGCTGAAATTAACAGATGATGCACTTTAACTAGGGTATTTTTGAAACCAAGAACAGAATGAAGAAAGAAGTGTAATCCAGCAGGCACATCAGTTACAGGCACTGATGATTAAGGGCCCATTTGGAACATAAACTGACTGAAACAGGGATACTCCAGGAATGGGATCGAGAAAAATTGATTAAGTTACTCCCCAGTGTATGAAATTCTATTTAACCCCCTGTAAATCATCTTTGAAAAAAGTATCAACTAATTTAATAAATACTACTAATAATATATTTAGATGACCAATATTGACACCCATGTCAACACTCTCACTACATACAGAAGTCAGAAGCCATGTTTTTAATCTGAAATCTGAATAGAAATGCCATAGGCATTTTGGGAGTTCACCTAAGATACCTTTGTGAAAGCACCTGAAGTTAAAAAAATGCCTAAGCATGGAATGGAATGTTTAGGTTGTTAACAGGAAATGAAAAATGCCTGTACAGCTCTAAGTTTTGCAGAAAAAACTATTCTATTTTTTAACCTGCATAGCTCTTCAACATGAATAGCAACACAATTAGTCAGCACCAGGAACTACCTGTATAACTCTTAGTTTTGTTCAGATCCTCTGTCTGTTATTGCTCCTTTTGTGAGTGGTATGAATAATATTTACGGTCATTTTATTTTGTTGACTTTGGGAAAATGAAGACACAGTCCCTTAAATGCAAAGGGGAATAAATTTGCATGACATAATTAAATCTGCTTTTCTGGGCTATTGGTGAATTGATTTTACTCTACTACCAATGTCGCTGTAATTATTTTGTCAGCATTTCTTTCAGAAAGCTTAATTATCATCAGTCATTAACTTCTTTATTAGAAGGTTGATTGCTTGGCATTAAGACTGCTGATTTTAAAATTACACTCATATTATCCTGCACGCATCACAAGTTTAATTAAGCTATTCTCTGAGAAGCACAGTAAAGGGAGTGCTTCAGCAAAAGGTAAGAAAAAATGAAATACTGACACGTGGTCTGTTGCAAAATGCATTAGCAGTGAATTTATGATTGATTTCAATCAACATGTTAAAATCAATTGACTCCAGACTACCACAAATATTTTACCAGCCATGGGGATTTGAAAACCTTATTACAAATTGATGTATCTATTTATTTTTAATTATTGGAATATTTAAATATCATATTTCACTGTCTCTACACCTTATGTACTTTTTCTTGTTTTTCAGCCTGTATGATTGTGTGTGGTACTGAGGTAAAGAGGCACTGAGGAAAACTTGTCCTTTGCCCAGCTTTACAGTACAGTATAACAGAACTGTTAAACAGTCAGACATAAATATAACCCTCTAAAGAGTTGTATCTCAGTCAAAGTCAAGCTTAAGCTTGTAATTAAATGATAAGCAATACATACTTGGGGCTACAGTATTTTAGCTTTTTAAAAACCTTTCCATATGGCATAATGAAGGAAGCAGAACAATGATTTATGAAGACATACTAACAACCACACACTTCAGGAAAAACATAGTTATACTGGAATAAATGTCCTAGGGGGAAAATACTCTTTTCTAGTAGAAACCATGCTGATATGTGTATACCATGAATTCCTTTGATATTTTAATTCCATAAAATTAAAAGAGGTGCTTTAGCACAGCTGACCTCTGAGATAATTACCTACATATTTTGCCAACTGAAGAAAACAAGGAAATATGTTACTTCCAACATTTCGACAATATCATCTATTAAGTGAGTGAACAATTTGCTTCAATAGCACGTAAGTTTTAATTGTCATGGCAAGTTTTTGATATGTTAGAAATGTAAACATTTTCCATCTGTTTCCCATTTTACACTTTTATTTGGTTTCTTGTCAGTAAGCAATAGTTATCTGGGATTTCCTTCTATTGGACAATTACTAGATAAACTGATAGATATCTACTACTGGTAAACACACAAAAAAAGAAAGGCTAATCAATTAATAGAAAAGAAACAGGAAGTATTGCCAGGCACTATAAGCAGGCAGAGGGTGAGGGTCATGTAAGTGACAGACGGATGGGTAGCTACAATCCCACAAGCACCTGGTTGCTGTCCAGTGGGATCATCATGACTGGCAGGCTTCTCTGGCGGTTGTGCCTCCAGCCCTGCAGCATACTCTGCTGGGTCTCCAGCTTCTCCCTCTCTTTCTCCACCAACTGCTGGCCCTCCCGCAGCCGCTCCAGGCTGTGTTGGTACTCGCGGAGCTGGGCCTCCAGCTCCTCCCGGTCGCGCTGGAGCTGCTCGGCCTGCAGGTGGCAGTCTCGCTCGCGGTGCTCCAGCTGGCTCTCCTTCTCCCCCTGCTGGCGCTGGCGGAGCTCGCACTCGCGCTCCCAGCGCTGCTGCTCCTGTCTGAGCTGGTTCTGCAGTCGCTGCGCCCCGGCCAGCTCCTCCCGCTGCTTCTCCAGGTTGCGCTGCTTCTCCTGCTCTTGCAGCAGGTTGCCACGGGAACTGGGAAGACGAGGCAAGCGCTCATTTTCCTGTAGGATTAGCTTCTGGACTTCATAGCAGCTGTCCTGAATGGTCACTGCAGCCTAAAACAAAGATGCACACCACACAACACAGTCATGACTCTGTTTTTAAATTACACTGTAAATTTCTGTCTAATTTAATAAACATACACATTACTATGCAACAGGCACAGATGTCTTAGACACAATTGGGAGTTACAATACACAGTATGGATGTTATAAACATCAACAATTTACTCAAAACCTCCACTAGTGTTTTCTATCGTTTCCACTTTTTTATTAATGCAACTAAGTTTGGACGTGAGTAAAACAAACTTTCCATTTACCAAACAATAAAAATAAGAAACTACACATAAGCAAGCGATATGAAGTGTTTCAGCAATTAATTGATTATATTTACCATTCAAATCTAACTGACAGGTGATCCTTAACATTAACAGTGCTTCCCTCTACAAATACTTAAAGCTAAAAAGCTCTATTCCTAGTTAAAAAAACACAGATCTATCAGTAATAAGTTACCTTAACACAAAATAGTTACATTTCTGTAGAAGAGCTCCACAGAACTGTTTGTGCACAAAGAAGGCAAAATGTTCCGTGACAAGTCGAATAATGCAACGTCTAGAAAAGACACTATAACAGTGTGCATTATGCACCTCTATATATAGAGCATTCTACACAACTCACTTGGGGTTTGATCTGTCAGTTCCAACTCACCAACCTTGCATTGCCAGTGTGGTGAGTCATACCTTATTACTTTGTTGAGAACACCATCATTCTGGAGTAGTGACTGTAATTTAGATCTCTACATAAATGTAATACTCCCACATGTAATATGCACTTGGATTTTAAACATACAGTACACACAATATTTTTAAATCACTTAATTGTATGCATTCTTAGCAGCTTAATAATAATAATAATATGGATTTACAAGCTTTTCTTCCCAAATCTGTAGAAATCCATTTATACTAATAAATGCTGTGAGAGAGTCTATTTTGAAATGTGAATAAAGATCACAACTATACAGCTCTCATTAAGGTTTATTCAAGTAACATATTTCTGAACTTAATATACTCCAGGAAGGTCAATAGTCTCTTCAACACCTTATCCTGAATGCGAATGAGCCTTGACATTTCCTGAGAATACACCCCTTCTTGCTCAGTGGAAAAAAATGCATTAAAGCAACAATACTGAACACAAGACTGATGAGGCAATGCAGTTTCTCAAAAGTAATTCAATAAATTATACTAAACAATACCTGAACCTGATGAAACACGTAGTGGAGGATATCTAATAATGTTTGTGATTGCAGATTTTTTATTACATTCAGAGGGTTAATAAATGAAGAGCTCAGAATACCCGAGAATAACCATTAGGAAAAAAAATAATTTTCTTACTCAGTAGACAGATATTATTTCACAAAACAACCCATAGATAAAACAGTATTCTCCTAGAGATTAACATCACAGTTAGTGAATGTTCTCACCTGTAGGCTGTAAAGTAACTGTGTCAAGCTCTGAACACTCTGCACCACCTGGAAAGCAAAATATGTATTCAAGAACATCATACTACATACAGCATTGGATGTATTCGTGTGCATGTTTGTGGTTGGATACATTCAAAAAAAGTTTTCTTCACTTTAATACACAGAGTCATTGAAAGTACAATAAATAAGTACAGGGAATATGTCTTATCTTCCACAGTCTTATAATTAATAAATACAAATTATATGGTGAAAAATACTACTAAAACAGTGTTAGAACATTATTTTATCTAAATTAATATAATTTATTACTAAACATTATGTAAAAAATAATGTAAATATATTTGAGAAATATAGGTATTTTGTCAGTATTTGTACATAATTACTCAGCAGTGATTTTTGGTGCTTAATCAAACTTTTCTAGTATGTCTAACATTTGTTTTGTGTGTGCAGGCTGCCACCTTGTGGTTTATTGATGTATAGCTGCTCTTTGGCCTCCATCAATTGAAACAGTTTGCTGCTTCTGAATCTGAATGTACATTTAACAGATAAATCACTCACGGACCATAAAGACCGCAAAGAGATCTTGATTCTGACATTCAAATAGCATTTCCATTGCTTCTTTATTGTATATATATATTTTATAAAAATATATTCACATATTTACATTTGATTTCTACTGAAATTCATCAAAATTAAACAAATACGTATTGTGGACCCATTAGCATTTGTTGCATTTAAAAGGTCTCTTCGTACATTATGGACACACTACATAATCCTAAAAACCTTGAATAATATATTATAAATGTCTACAATAAATATATGACAAATACAAACTCTAAAAATATTTTGTCACTTTCCTTTACCAGAAATGGGTTTTCAAATCAAACAATATTCTCTTTATGCTCTTCAAAATCAGGATATACTGATAGGTTACACCCGATATGAAGCTGTATAAGTTACTTCAGAGCTTATTCCATTTGTTCTTCAGTCTAAAAAACAGGTATTTTGTAAGACATTACTGTAAAAAAGGTCAGCTAAAAGTATAATTCACTTCTCACCCAATATGAAAATATTCTTCACTGTGAATTATTTTACTTTCAGATATGTTTAGAAAACACTGTTATGCAACGCAAATTTAAATGTTCTGTTCTTCTTATGCGAATGTTAAATAAGACTTTTTGTATACTACAATGATGTCTACACTGACCTCCAACTGTTCTTTGGAATTCTGTGTAATCAGTACATTTAAATCAAACAATATTTTTTAACATGCTGTATATAACATTTTACGTGGTGTGTTGTAAGACAAAAAAGAAAATAAATTAAGGTTTCCAAACAAATATTTCTATACTACAGCTGCAGAAGAAGGTCCCAAACACATCCTCGCCAAATGTTAACTATAAATGAGATAAACTATCATGAAGGGCAAATTATCTCCCCTGATTTATATCAATGTTAATTTTCAAGCTATTGTGTGGGCCTAAAAGCAAATAGCTTGGCTGTTTGTGTTCTGCTTTCTTTCTCAGAAACCTCTTTCTGTAAAATGGAGCTGTAGTTTATCTCTAACATAATTACTGTATGCTCGATATTGGCCAGACTTTTGCAGATTTCCTCTCCAATTTAACCAATTTTAAATTGTAATAAACTATGTATGATTGAAGGTCACATACATCTACATCTCAAGTAAATCCATTTACTGTGGCTGTAGAGGTCCTAAAATAAGAACTACATAAAAAGAAAAAAGTTTCTGATTATTTTGTCCTGGTTTTATAGCTAATCAGTATTCACTATCATCTCACTTCCATGAACATACAATATAGTGATATTTACCATGGATCAAAAAATATGAGTATTAATCTTATACTTAGGAGCCCATACCACAAAATATTTGAAAGAAAATTGATGGGATCCCCATTATAAACAAAGTCTCAAAGAGCAAAATACCCACGCAAAGACAAATGTAAAAGCAGGAAGTTTAATTTAATATAGCAACCCAACCAAAAGCAAAAAGCATAAAAAGTACACTGGATGAGAAACATTATACAGTAACATAAGATACCTTATGCACTTACAGTAATAAACCAAGCTAAAACTGGTGGGACTTAATTACTATATTATATTAAGAAGAAAATATGGCAATTAAACTAAAAACCTCAGCACCATTCTGTTTTGATGATTAAAGGTGGCATCTTTAACATTTATACAAAAGTTTGGTTATTAAATATGGTATATACCTTAAGGTTAATATTGGTGGCATCCCCTCTTCTGACTTCAGTCAGGGATTGCAAAATGTCCCCAGACCACTCTCCTTCTCTCATTTCAGAGTCTGAAGTCAGAGACACAGAGCTCGAACTTTGAGTGTTCGGGTAATCTGCTGAAGACAAAGCAGAAAAAGAACAAATCAATATCAACACATAGTAGATGGCATTTCCAAAAGGTACTGTACTGTAATGAAGTAAATGTGATATTGAAAGGCATAATATTAATCACTTGATTTTAACAAAATACTTCCAACTGCATCATGCAACAGAGCTAACTGTATGTTTTAGATCGGTGCAGTGTTGGTCCAGTATAGCTGCACATTCATCTGGATATTAGTTTAGTTGAACACTCAGTTACTTAAGAAAAACTATTAATTTATAACTATTAAAAAGATAACACAATATTTCAAGACACATACAGTAGATGGCATCTGTAAAACCAGAGAAATTGGTCTCTTTAAGGGATAAAGATCACTATGTCAGAAAAAATGCGGCACACAATAATTTTCACAGAAGAAAGACATTGCAGAGATCACAGATTTAGCATTTTTCTGGAGAAACTCTTTATTCTAAAGGAAGCTAGACTTGTCTAGTGAAAGATGTGAGGTACTTGGGGAACAATCTGCTGTGGTTGACTATTTAAATCTTTCTTTTCCACTTGGAGTCAGCTGAACCACTCATACTTATAACACACTGGGGAGAGGATTTGAGTTTCTGAGTCCGTCATGTCTCAGTGGGCACTGATTGTCTGAAATCTGGCTCTGTAAAAAATTAGAGGCCTCTGGTGAAAGTTATTGTCAAACTTTGTAAAAGGAGCAGCTCTCCCCTGTATGGAATTACTCTAGTGTAGTCTAGAAAAAATCCACAAGATGTCATAGCTTCAAATGTGGTGTCCTTCAACAACACAAATAAAGTGATGGTTGCTATCCCACCAGGAAGAGGATGTAGGAAGACACCCAAATGTATCATCAGAACATCCGAAAAGTGGTTTGGATGGCTAAATCTCACCCAAAGCAACAATTATGAATCTTTAAAAACTCACCAAGTACCTTCTTCAATGACTTGAAGCTACACTAAAGCCACATACAGTAAATACAAGGTAAAGTACAGTTTGTACATGGAACAAGAACTAGGTGCACAACAATCAGCAACTACTCTCAAAATGGACAATAAGCACCGATGTGCCACAGGGATCTATTTTAGGCCTGTTGCTCTTCCTGTTCTATATAAATGGTTTGGATCCCAATATAGTCAGCAAACTACTGGATACAAAAATAGGAAGAGTGGAAAAACAAAAACAGGAGCAAGAGACTTACCAAATAACTTAAACCCATGGATTGGAAAGACAATTTACAAATGAAATTTAACATTAACACAGGTACAGTATTAATAGAACATATATTCTATATCTTCTGATTATCACAGAGTAATTTTGAGATGCAGAAAGCAATAGCATGTATGGAAGGATTCCTTTGTGTAGAATGCTCTGCGTTGATTATCAACAAAATGTGGGGAAGCAGAAAAGGCAAACAGAATCCTTGGATATCCAGCAAAAGTGCTGAATTTTAAAATTAGAAATGCTCTACTAAAACCCTAGATAATGTATTATATACAGTTTTTGCAGCATCCGCAAAAAGTCAAGTCTGTGAAAGAGGTCAAACAAGATCAAGATAATGATTTCTCAGGAAATATACAGTAGGGGTTGTCATATACTGTATAGACATGTCACATCTCTCAAGTCTAGGACAAAGGAGATGATAGGGGATTTGATTCATATAAAATATTAAGGGGTAAAGATAGTGATGATGAGGAACTACATCACACTCAGTAATGAAACAAGGACATCGGACTGAATCTGGAAACTAAAAGTAAATTAACTGTCAATGGAGAATAGGTAACGTTTCTCTGAAAAATAAAATAAGCATGAGTTGTCAGGTATATGATTAGTATTGAAAAGCGAAGCTCATGTTGAAAATGAATGCCATCCCCTCTTTAAAGAATTGAAATGGATCTGTTCTACTTGTTTTGCATCCTCTGGTCCTGGTGTCCAAGGTCAAATTGAGGAATAGATAAGATTACAGACATTTATATAGATATTTTTTAGCCAAAATGGAAAGCCTTCTGCCGTTAGGCTCATGCTTGGTAAATGTATTTTATAATAGACTACATTTACAAAGCATGCATCAAAATCAAGTGACAAAAAAGTCAACAAAACATAAAAGATACGTTTTCATTGGTTAATTAACCAATCTGTTAATTGGTTCATTATCTGAAGAAAACAGTTCATGAGGACAGGCCGTGCAACCTGAAAGATTTGGAGAGAGTCTGCATGGAGTAATGGTGAAATATCCCCCTAACGAGTAGTTTAAGAGCATATTGGTACAGAAAGTGCTTCTTCAAGGTTATCCATCAAAGGAGACATCACAATATAAGTTCAGGTGGGTAGCTGCGTCAGCATGCGTAGGCTGCAAAGGAACAAGTAATAGGTTTATTCCATGCTGAAAAAAAGAAGAAAGAGAACACAACGTTTCGGCCGTGGAGCCTTCTTCAGGTGAAGAAGGCTTCTTCACACCTGAAGAAGGCTCCACGGCCGAAACGTTGTGTTCTCTTTCTTCTTTTTTTCAGCATGGAATAAACCTATTTTTTGTTCCATCACAATATAAGGATTAGTGGGACATAAATAATGTTGAGTATCATGCAATTAGAAATACTTTCAATATTTAAACATACAAAACTGAAAATTATATTACATACATTATTATAAATAGTCTTTAGTTTTTTATTTTTTTCAAATAATAATTATACTTTATTGACACAGTCATCAAAAACATCAAGCACACTTGTATTTTCATGCTAAATCAGCTTTTACTGTAATTACAGTTCTTCAAGGATATTAATGAATTTGGAAGCCGCTGTACCTCAAGAGGCTGATAAGAAATACAGTACTTGTACTTACATTCAGTTGGAGACTCTGGGATGCTACTAAAACTTCCAAAGTCTTTGAGTTTCCCTGGCGAGCTGGGTTCTGCAACACTCTCCTGTGATTGGCTGTCAGAGGACCATGACTGAGATGTCAGTGCAGCAGTTAGTTTTTCAGCTAAAGAAAGAGATTCATACATTAAATTCAATAAATGCTATTTATGCTGTATGTAGATTATGGAGTTTGCCAGTGTTAAACTTCAATACACAAATATTCCTTCCAGTTTAAAGCACATGGAATTAGTACTGATATTACTAGAAGAAAACTAAATGTGTGGATTAATAGTAAGAATGTATTCATCATGGGCAAAAAAAATCTAAATTAGATTACATGAGGAAAGAGTAGACAGACCAGCAAAATCAAAGGGATTATGATGAAGCGGTACACAGATCTAAAGACCTTTTTTGACGGGGAGTTCTATAATGAGAAAGACAAACAGAAGACAACAGTGGGTCTAGCTAGCCTCACCCTCTCTGAGCGCAGCTGCCAAGAGGACTGCAGCTTGGGGCACCTCCTCTGGGTCCGGCCGGATCAGAAGATGAGGATCAGGAGCAGACTCCTCATTGACACTCATTACTGTCAACTCGGCGTAGATCCTGAGCTTCTCCTCCAGACTGTTACAGATCTGCTGGTCCTGGTTAATCAGAGTTTCTGTGAAGAAAGCATAGTATTTCTTGAGGCACATCGACATCCGTCAATGCAAGTAATGCTTCTGCTGTTAGATTTCAATGGGTTTTTATTAATGGTTTCAGAACTCTTGCTCCATTGCATACTTCAGCATTTGGTCACATAAGCACAAGTTTGAGATGAATAAAAAAACATTGAACAATTGTTTGATCTATTATTCTGTGGACAATTTCAAACAGTTTACAATATACATGATTCTGGTACAGGTAAGTGGTGAGACTGCTGAGAGAGGATTAGGTGTTCCTCTGTGAAGTTATTTCTTTGAAAATACTTTTGGACTGTCAGCATGTTAGATTATCCTGTTCTCGATTGGCTCTAATAATTTAACATCAGGTGATAAACTGAAAAGAAAAAAGGTGATGTTGAAGCATATCAACCTAATTCTCCTTCTTACCCTGAAATTTTTGAATCTTCTGAGCTCTGGCTTCAGCAGCTCGCTTGTCCTCCTCAGTTTCGCTAGTGCGCTCTTCCTCCTCTTCGGGACAGCTGTGGGGGAACATGGGTACCAGCGTTGTTTTAACAGATCATAGATCTATGAAGCAGGACAAGCCCTTCTCAAAAAATATCATGGAAAACATCTAATATTTTCGGGGTAATATTACATTGCCATTTTTAATTTGATATGGATTTTCCTGCCATGGTGAGAAAGGTGTTAATTTCCTTGTAAGGGTTTTGTCAACCTCGAGCCTCTATCCTGGTAGCAGTTAATATCAGTGCATCGCAGAACACACACAAACACAGGCACACAGGAACAATGTCGAGACACCAATTAAAAAGTATTTGGTATTTAAACAAACCAGAGCACCCGAAGGAAGAACTGTAATAATGTAATTTGTACTTTGTAAGATGAAGTAACCCGCTCTTTCTTGGAAAACAAAACAAATCACAATGCTACACAATTAAGTGTTCTTTTATGTGATGAAGTTATACTCCTTATTGCAAATCTTGAAGAAAAAGCCTTCTTCACCTTTCCACTGCCTCTCGGATCAGTCTCATCCAGTTGTTACGCTCTTCCTTGGATGCTGTGTGGATTTCATACATCTCAGGACCCGCTGAGGATGCACTGATAAGAAACATCCCTCTCTCCTCATTGGCCACCTCCCTTACAATCAGTTTCTGCAGAGAGATCACTGGAGGCTTCTGATCCTATTGTGAAATTGTGACAATACCATAAAAATGCAGGAGTTTTAATATTTAATAGAGAATTCAAAGGTTTCATTTGTTAAGGAAACAAGAATCTATATAGCAGGCAAAATGAAAGTTCAATTGTCTTTATTATTGGTAATGTTGTTTATAATAATTCTATTGATGATATTTATCTGCTAGGACATCTTATTTTTCTAATCTGTATCATTATAGTGAACTTTCAGACATACCACTGTTGCGAAGATATATTTTTGGTCTTTTTCCTGAAGAAATATGAGAACATCAGTAAGAAGCAGTGCCATGATATCTGCAAGGACAAAGACAAGACAACAAGAAAGCAATTCATAAGCATTAGGCCTGAGGTTAGAAAAACTGAAGAGTCTCAAAGGGTCATGTAACACATGATAACATGTAACATGATATCTGATACCCAAGTATAACACATTGGAAAAGTCCTGAGAAAAATAAGGGACATCTTGTGAAGTGTTTTGAATTCCACTTGTTTACTGCATCCTTTAATGAAACTATATACTAGTGCATATAGTAGTGTATATTAAGCATGTCTGTTTTTACTTTAGTTTCAGCAATGCTAAATTCAAGTTCAAGTATATAGTTATATGTACCTGAACACAATGAAATGCTTATTTGTGCATTTTCCTCACATGACAAATGAAATAACAGATGACATAAAAGATTACATAACTTTAATATAGAAAATGACATAACTAATGACATCACAGTTCTTGGAGACAGGAACAGGGTAAAAGCAATAATTTAACCAGCATTTAGATAGCAGTTGTGTGCAAAATTCAGCAGTGGCAGTATTTTCAGTTCAATGCAAAACAGAGGGGTATACGTGGGGGTAGGAGGATTTAAGAGGTAGCGTTTATGAGTGTTATTGCTGTGGGGTAAAAGCTTTGTTTTAATTCAGAGTCCAGGCTTTTATACAACTAAATCTTCTCCCACAAATAAGAAAAAAGAAAACTGAATTTGCAGGGTGGTTTTGGTCTTATTTGGTCTGATTATGTTGTTTACCATTCTAAGATAAAATGTGGTGAAAACAGTTTGTGTTAGGACCAGACTATTTCCTTTAAAAAATCATGTCATACTGTAGGGGTTTGGCTGTGAGTAACTGCTTTGCAAGGTGTGAAGTGAACAGCCAAAACCAGCCTCAGAAGAACAGAACAACTACTTCACCTTTCAGCCTCCCTGTGGCTGTCTTCCAGTACACTAGGCCATCGTGCTGCAGGGTCCTGCCTTGGCTCATTAGGTCCTGCTTGCGGAAGGTGTGCCCATTCTTCAGCTTGGCAAAGGTCTTATTCTCTATCCGGTTCAGGATCTCCACTAACTTTTGCTCCTTCTCGTACTCGCTGACCTTCAGGTCCACGGCAGCGATCACCTCCCGGATCAATGATAGTGCACGAATCAGGTCTGCGTGTTCCTCTGTGCCCTCTGTCACCAATCAAGCCAAACATTAACATAATAGTATATTAGAGCTCCAAATCATTACCTTAACTTTCAATAACTGCTTTATCCCATTAAGGATCACAGAGCAGCCAGAATCTATCACAGAAAGCAATAGGCACAAGGCGGGACACACCCTAGACGTGACGCAAGTCCATCGCAGTGTACACAGACACAGACACATACACATTCACACCAATGTCAATGTCAATTTGTCAATTGACAAAATTGACAAAACGTCACTTTTCCCAGACCCAGAAGCCAATTAACCAGCTGGTAAGTCTTTGGATTGTATGAGGAAACCAGAGCACCTGGAGGGAACCCATGCAAACATGGGGGGAACATGCAAACTCCACACAGATAGCATTCCAGGAATTTAACTTAGGGTCACCATGCCATCACAAATTTAATACATTAAATATTTTACCAGCATCCTGCATACATGTAGTGTTTTTAAGAAAACACACCTTTCATTCTAAAATGTAATTTTTTTCCTATTTTCCAGGTATCTTGAATGAAAACAACTGGGTCATGCAAAACGACTAATTGTAATTATTGGAGTCTTAATGGAAAACCTGGAATGTGTTCTGGTGTAAAGTTTCCTCTATTCCACCAACTGCTGCAGTCAGGAAAACTAACCCTTTGAGTGTTGAAGAATTCGTTCCACCAAGACTGGGTACTTGGTTATGCGTTGTGTTACCAAAAGGATGCATTCTGGGATTTCTCTCCTTCGAACCAAAGAGTTATTACTTTGTTGCTGTTAAACAAAAAATTGTGAGAAAATGCAAGAATTATTACAGGTTAAACAAATGGCACGTTAATGTAGCACTTCCACAACTCAAAATAATGAATATACTCTAATTTCCTTAGCATATCTTTGGAAGGGAGTGTCAGGATAAATTTTAGTTATCTTTAGCAAAATGTTGATGTCATAATAAATTGATTTATCATTCTAGATCAGCTACTTAACTTTAACAAATAGTTTGTTTCCCGAATATGAAAAAAAAAACAATTAAATGGCAGAAATAACTTACTTTAATAAATGCTTGAAATTTCTTATTCTGTTGCTGCAGCTCTTTAAAAAAGTTCACAGCTTCTGTGTGGTGGCTGCAAAATTCTCCATACACCTGTTTCATTTTCGTTGCATTTTCATCAGAAAACTAAACCAAATAGAGATAACATTAGTGTGAAATTGTTTCAATATACAGTAATAAGCACTACTACAGTAGGTACTGTATACACTACTGCAGTGGTACCCAAATGATGGTCTGTTGTCTGTTGTCTGTGGAAAATTAAAATGTGATGCAGAGTCAGATTTAAAACTAACCTGAGAACCCATCTTTGGCAGCACCAGCCATCTCATGAATTTGCTCAATCTACATACCTTCATATAGATGGGCTGCCAAACTTTGCAAATTAACTTCAGGCATGAATAAAAATTTCAATTAAATTAAGGTTCTACATTACCTGTTTTCTGAGTACATATTTCTTTGTTATTAATTTACATTTTCATAACTCACAGAATCAGTTAAAACAACACAACTAATAGTACTGTATGTGGGAGCCCACTATCAGTTTCAAAATTGAAAAGGGGACTAACTATTTACCATTTTTCTTCAGACAGTGAAAAACTATGCATTAACATTAGAAGTAAAGTATATTGATATTGAACTGTAAAGAATTTCGATTTAAACATTTTTTAGAGCCATCGATATATTTTAATCTACACTGCTTTTTTAACTGAATACATTTTCAAAAACCCTGATTGCTTTTAATTATATACAGTAATGTAATATGTAAACAAAATAATAAAAGCTGGTGCATGCTGATTTATCAGGAAGGAATAGAAAGATTATCGGGAATCTGCACCCCAACTATTTTACAATCTAAGCATTTGACAAAATCAAAGCAGGGCTCACTTGCTGCACAAGGACATCTCCTATTCTGTCAATAAGGAAGTTCCTGTCATTGTTCTCCTCTGTGCCATGCTGGCGTCGCTCCTTCATTGCACTAAAGAAGCTCTTGTGGATATCAAAGAGCTCGTCTAGACAGGGGAAGATCTTGTCCACAGTGTAATGGTCCAACTGTAGCTGCTCCTTCATGCCTCTTCTGAAGATCTCAGACATGATGGTCAGTGTCTGGATGTGATGCATCTCTGTCTGCATTAGTTCTGTGAAAAGGCCAGAGCAGTGAATATCTTTACTCTGACAAAGATCAGATGAGTGGTAATTGATGAGCTTCAGATGACCCCCAACACGTACAGTTTACAGTGTTTCTTTTTTCCCCCACAGCAAAACCTACATCCTATTTCCTGAAGGAAATCGTAAAACTTAAAAAAGAAAACAGAAATCAATTCAGGTATTTTTTTACATATAACATAAATATACATGTTTTAATTTTAACAGATTAAATCAAAACTTGGACATTTCTAAACATACTGCCAGACAGTGGTTTCAC